CACAAGGAACAAAAGATATACGACCCCAAAATGAAGTGGGGCTCAACAAGTCAACTGGGAGGAGGGTGTACCGCTATCACTTATCAATGCCGCCTATTGTGGAACCACCTACATTCATTAAAGATGAAGTGCTCCTGATAAAAAAGAGACGCTAGTACATATGGAATAGTACTAGTATGTAAGACTAAACGCCCCCATCAATAGAACGAGTAACAATACAAGAAGAAACAATCATAGGATCAAAATGAAAGCTTCAAATAATACCAAAGCATCAAGTTAGGAGCAAGATAAGGTTTCAAGTAAATTTCCATATTTTAGGTTGGGAGATCTTTAGTACCGATATACCACCGTGACTTTAGCACGGAGTCCGATTATGACCCGATCGGCTAAGCCGTCTCACCCAAATATATCCAATCACAATCACCACCATGTGCGCAGCATGATGTCCAATCTCGACCCGATCGGCTTGGCCGTCTCACCACAATGTCGTGTGGATTGACATCACCCTCTGCTAGCAATCATCTCATCCCAATTAATGGGAATAATCTCAACACATCAATCTCATCCCATTTAAGGGGAATATTCTCAACACATCAGTTCGGGGATTTTTCCCTCAATCACTCCTACACCGGCACGTGTAGTTTCGAGGTTAGGTTGTTTCGACCTACCCTTCCTCGGTGACTAATGATACTCCGAAAAATGTTTATTATAAAAAGGATTTTCAGCTCAATTCATAAATGTTTATACATCTTTTCATTTCACTGTCACTAGTGGCCACAAATATAATATCATTCTTGGTACGTAGGTCGTATTTCATATTTCATGCTCTCCCCTTTCACTTTCAAACATCATCATGGATTATCAACAACAAGGCTTCTCTAATCACGACTTTTAGTACACATATGAGAAATAAGAGTCTTAGGCTCATTGAGTTTCTTCCACAATTTGGCATAATAACTTGCAATTGAAACATGTTTGAATTCATAATACTTTGACACATTGGTCACATTTGAATACGTTCCCGAAGGATAACACAATATAATAAGAGCATTCGGAATACATTTTGAACATATATCTTTTGACACAAAGTTTATTCGGAATAGTCAAATTTATAATGAATAACTCGGGACATGAGAAGTAAAAAATTAACCCATCATACTTGAGACTTATTAGAACATCGTGGGATTCAATTTTAAGAGAGAAGTTTAGCCAACATACCTCGCTTTGAGCTTTTCTTAAATTACTACAATGTTTCAGAAATCTTAGCAACTTCAATCTATTTAGAGACGTAACAAAAATTTAAACATAATTAGGAAGAGGTTCATGGATTCTGCTCATTTGAACATTTTATCAAACACTAGGTAGGCATTATGATCTCAAGATTCTTCTATGGTGGATTCTCTCATCCCACAACTCAATGTTTACCCATTTGAGCTCAACAACCTTCCCATAAACCTTATTGGTACATGCATGCATAAATAACACTCTCCTACCCAAGAATCACACTCTTCATTACCCATCTTTACCCCCAAACTCGAAATGGAAAGCTAGGGCTAGAACCTTACCTTTTGGATGAAGACCTTGTGAGTTTTTCTTGTTGCATTTCAAAGCTTGGGCAAGGATTGATGAACAAAACACTTGGGGCTTCCTCCTCTCTCTCTAGAACACTCTCCTCTATCTAAAATGGCAGTTTAGACCAGCCAAAATAACCCCAAGGTCATTTTTATAAAAAGGGGATTGGGTTATAAAATCAAAAAATGGACCCTCCGAACTCAACTCTGCGGTCGTAGAGTGCACCGCAAATCAGGTATGCGGCCCGCAAAGTGGATCGCAAAATGGTTCTCCAAAACTAGATTGACCTGGTCTAGTATGCGACAGATCTGCGATCCACAGGTCAGTTATGTGGTCGCATAATACGCTGCAGAATCTTCCTCTAAAGTTTTCTCATTCTGATTTTGCGGCAGATGTGTGGCCCGAGAAATGGTTATGCGGCTGCATAATGGACCGTATAATGGTCTTCAAAATTGGCTCAAGTCCTGTTACACTCTGTGACCGATCTGCGGTCTGCATAGTGATTCTGCGGCCTTCATCACGCAAAATCGAACCTCCAAAATTCGCAAATGCGATATAATCCTCACAAATGCAAGGTCCCTTCCCCCAGTAACCCAGAATCGAAAAAGCGAGAATGATCTCGCAAATGCGACCAATTTCTCGCTAATGCCATACCTGAACACCAGCAAAAATCTGAACCTCTCTAAAACTCTCTGAAACGCTCCTGAAACGCACAAACATCATATGAACTCGTTCATGCGATCAAAATACCAAGATAACATCTGGAATCATGAATCGTACACCAAAATACATAAAAATTATAATGAACTTCAAGAACTTTTGAAAATACAACCACGCGCCTGATTCCTATCAAATAAACTCAAAATGATGCCAAACTTTGCAAATAAGTCAGAAATGACCAAACTGACTTATTCCAAGTCCCGAAACTAATATTCGAACCCGATAGCCAACTTTTTAAATATTCAAATTGCCAACTTTCGGCAAAGCGAGTCAAATCAACCTAGGAACCTCCGAATTAAATTCTGGACATACGCCCAAGTCCAAAATTATAATATGAATATACCGGAGCCATCAAATACCGTTCCGGGGTCATTTTTATAAAAAGTCAAACCTCTATCAATATTTCCAACTTAAGCTTCTAAAATAAGAATCATTCATCCAAATCAATCCCGCATCACTCAAAAATCAAAACCGACCATGCATGCAAGTCATAATACACAATATGAATTCATTCATAACCTCAAACCACTGAACGAGACGCTAAAAATTAAAACGACCGATCGGATCGTTACAATGGGACTTGTTGGTAGATTGCTAGATACTTGGAGGGTATCAGATTGATGTATATATTGAGTCTTCATCATTCGCATAAACGCTATTTGAAAATTAATATAAAATTATGTCTTTATCATGCATAGACACTAAGGTAAAAGTATTGAGTTAAAGCTACTTGGTACAAATCTCCTTTATATGCAAATTTGGTGCATTTGTATATGCTTTAATCTAGTTATTTAGAAAAGCATGCTTGTTTTCATCTTCCTTGATTACGCACCTTATTATTGATATCTGCTATTCCTTGGTTGTTTTTTGGTTATTTTTTTGTTGTTATATATANAAACCTTGCCACTACTTCGTTGAGGTTAGTATTGATACTTACAAGCACATGTTGTCAATTATACTCATACTACACTTTTGCACCTTGCGTGCAGATATTGGAACTGAGCTGTTGTAGAAATTTATGGGCGAGCATTGAAGACACATTGGCATTTTAGTTATCAGTTGCCATTTATTCATGGTAGCCTAGGATCTTGTATTTCTGTTTATGTATATTCAAATAGATGATGTATCTTTCTTCATATGAACGTTGTAATCCTAATCTTAGTCACTCATGATTTGTATTAACAGTTGTTGAGATAGTTTGTATTAATATTTGCACACTTATTTTATTATTTATTTGATAATTTTTAATTAGTATTGTATTTATGTTGGTTGGCTTGCCTATCGGGTTGAGTTAGGCACCATAACAATCCCGATGGGATTATGATCGTGACACAAAATAATCCAAATGTGGTAACTACACACAATATTAATCAACCAACAAAAAATACAAAACCAAAATCAATGAAATTAAAAATGGAGAAAAAACATCTGAAATTTATAACACACTAAGTAAAATGATATTTCAATTTTCTGCAATTATAGCAGGATAAGGCTTTAAATAAAGTTAAAAATCACATTATTTTCAACTAAGATCAATGAAAAGTTGAAGAAATAAAAAAGCATAGAGAATAGTAACAATTAACGGTACAACTTTCAACCTTTTCAACTGAAAAGGTATAAAAAATATAAGAAACTCAAATTTCATGCACAATCGAAAAAGTAGTAAGGAAGAAAAAAAAATGTTAGGAAATAAAGAAGGAAGAGAGGTCTTTTTTCCTTGATATAAGAATCATTAAACTAATCAACTTTTGCTTTCCGTAAGAATCCGTAACTACCCTGCCGGTCGTTTGGAGCATTTGCATTCCGTTCAGCTATTTGAAGTCTTGAGCATCATCGTATAATGTATTATGACTTGTGTGAAATCGAATTACTATGCCTATCTTGGCGGTCGTTACTTTTAGTGGTCTTTCTTTTTGGTCCTCTTCTTGTTCTATTGATCAGAAGCATCAAGCAGCACCACGCCGATTTAGAATTCGGCCACTTACGCTGGGCAAAAACATATACTCCCTCAACTTCAGCACGCAGTATAAAAAAAAATTTAGAACTCGTGTTACTCTAAAACATGCTAGATTTATGTGGCTATAGAAACATACAATTTAAGATAAAATAAAAAATTTAAAATTAAATAATTTTGAAACATATAAACATGTCGTTTTTTAAAAACAGATTAATAAAGATATAATGTATATAAAATGGAATGGAGGGGATTAGCTAATATTAGAACCTATTTGTTTTTGTTTTTTTTTCTTTTTCTTCTGTACGTCTTTTTGATAAAATTAAAAAATAATTGATGAGTAACAGGTTGTAAAGCAAGAAAGTTATATATTGGAGAGGAACTATTTGGCTCTTCAGTATTGAAGAGCGTAGGATCAATTGTCACAAACGCAAATGCCTAGTTGAAGACGAAAAGAGTAATATTACAATAGATAAAAGCAGCCTTCGAGGATTGTAGTGACAGTAATAGGACCCTCCACCCTTACACAAAGGTTTTGGGAATAGAAAGAAATCCTGATAGAAAATATTTTTCCTCTTAATAAGTCGTAAATCCTAATTAGCAAGTTGCTTCACGGTATTCAGTAGACAACCATAGAAGTCTAAATAATGGCCTTCCATTTCACAAATCAGGTAGTTCTGTCAAATTGCTCAGATACAAAACTGTTTTCAAGAAATGGCAAATTGATGGTACGTAAGTGCTTCGCATTATTGGGTTCTATACAACATATGCCATTTAAAAGCTAAAATTGAATACAGAAAACATAGAAGATTTTCAGCCTGCAATATACCCAGTCATTGAATAATTCGTGTTATATACCCAGTAAAAACAAATGGGAATTTCCTGTGATCATGTAGCGCAAGACTAGTTGCGGAACAATCTCTGGAACCTACTGAACTAGAGAGGCAAACTCATTAACTTACGTCTAAGTATCTAACTAATCTGAAGAAAAAAATATGTGCTGTATACTCCTAAACCATGTCTCTGATACGAGATGATCGTTAACTACCTTCTCATGCTGATGATTTAAACAATAAATATGGTTATTGAAGCAGATGCAGATACTTAGACTTCGTGCCAAGTCTTTTCTTATTTTATCTCCAGGGATCCTATTACTCAGCTTCCAGAAAGCCTCTGTCCTCCATGTAAGAGACAACTTGCCCAGCCATCTCATGTGGTGTCGGAACTACTCCATCTTTTTGTTGTATTTCAATCTAGCAAAAACCACCACGCAGAAATTGTCCATTAGTTCTGAACAAAAGTTGTTACAACAACACAAAAGCAAATTAAGATATATCTGAATGATTAAAATTAAAGAATGTAATGGGGTACCTCACAGTTCAATGGCGGTTCATAAGGATCATCAATTCCGGTAAAACCTGCAAAACAAAAGGCTCTGAGTTATAAGAAGTTCCTTTTCCTCTGAGGTACTGAACATCAAGAGAGTTTTGAAGCAATGCAGCCTAGGTCGATGTAAATCTGCCATCTTCACAAGCAAGCAAAATTCTGAAGAATTGCCCTTAGTTACTCCAACTGAAATGATGCCAATTATCCAGTGCGACATAGGAGAAAAAAATTTCATTCTGGTTTCAGGGCAAAGATAGAATTGAACTAGACAAATCAGTCCTCTGGGAAATGTCCTATCGTTAATGAACTTCTAGTTTCATCAACTTTTAACCACATGAAGCATGGCAACAAGCAGTACACAAATATTACACCTTGTTTTTATCAGAATAAAACCTGACAGGTGCAATTTACCGCTGTGTGTCTAACATCTCATGAATGAGACTTCACAACCAATTGAGTTGCTCTCCTTTTTTAAGACTCCAGATTCCAAAGAGAGATGGAAACTGTAAAGGCTACTACCCTGAAGCTAATACCAACCTTTGATCTTTCCAGCACGAGCAAGCTTGTACAGGCCTTTTGGATCTCTTCCTTCACACAGTTCCAGAGGCATATTCATAAAAACCTGGAAAGTCGAACAGAATTAGTTAAAATTGCAGATATTTCCATAAGAATGTAAAGTATGGAAACTTTGCCTCAATAAAACTTTTATCCGGAAATAATGCTCGGCAAGCATCACGATCCTTTCTGTAAGGAGATATCAAACTTGCAATGCATATTAATCCAGCATCTGCAAAGAGCTTTGAAACTTCACCTGGAAAATTTTACAAACAGGACAGGTAAATTAGGAACTGCAACATATGTCATACGACAATGCAGAACATCTAGAAAAATTCAAATTAAATGAATGGGAAACTATAATTAGTTTCACTTAAGTCATTGTCTTCATGATAGCTGCACAGTTAAATAAAGATAAAAACATAGTTTTCTCAAGGCTGGAGTAGTTTTCTCAAGGCTGAAGCTGTTTCCGCTCAACAAATATATTTCCACACTTTCCCTACAATAAATGTCGAACTACACAAGATATTCTAGATGTGGTTAGCAGAAGAGTCACTAGTTATTAGCCTCAAGGCAGAGATGAGCTGCATAGACTCTTAAAAATCATCTGTCGAAAGTCTTCAATGGTTTCTCTATGAAAGCATCAACTTTTATTTTAGCATAGACGGTATCTCTTCATTCTTCATGATATTAACCACAATTCTGATCCCTATGAGCATTTTTCGTCTGGTATGATAATTCAAATTAAAGATTATAAACATCAGGTCTAATGCGTGAATTTATAATGATAGCCGTGCTCTGCATGCTAATTCTACGTTATTCGGGGATGCTAGGCACAGCAGTTCAGTTTAAGGACATGAAGGAAGGGTGAGTTTCGACCTCATCACTTTTCCTTTCTCCTTCCAAATTTTCCCTTCCTCGCTCACTCCCCCCCTCCCCCAAAACCTCCCAACCCCCCATCCCAATAAAAAAAGGAATTTTAAAGTGTAGATATCCCTGGAAAATTTGAAGACTGAATATCTTCTTTTGATTATAGGTGTAATCAATCCGAGCAGAGTTGAGTCCCAAATAACCAAGCGAGAATCCAGAATTCCACCAGCCAAGCTCAAGCTGGACTTGAATTCTAAAACTTGTTCAAATTAAGCTCTAGTGTGACTCTATACAACTTAATGTAGCGCTTGAGCTCAAGTTTGGCTTGATAAATAAATGACCTTGGAGCTAAGTTGCTCGGACTCTTCACTTTCAGTACCGCACCCGTATCGACACGACGTGGCCACGTGGGTGTGGGATCCGTGTCGGATCTGGTCAACCGATTTTGGGTATTTTGACCAAAATCAACAGAGAAATTTGGGACAGATACAATGATTTTTGAAAACAAATCAAAAGCTAGGGTGATATGGAAGAAAATGGAATACCTTGTATATATATAAATTTCTATGTCAGTCCTTTTCCTTTTATCTCCTTCTAAAATTCTACTCTTGTTCAATATTTTCTCCTTCTCGGAATACCTTGTAAGTTTTCCACATAATATCTCATAATTTAGACACATTTTTATAACTCTATTTTTAAATAATTGAATTATTTTTAGGCGAATCCCCGCACCCGTATCCGTACCTGGATCCGTACCCCCGAATCTTTAAATTTAAGATCATGAAGGATCTGACCTCTAGATCCGCACCCGTATCGGACACCCGCACCCGAGTCCGAGCAACTTAGCCTTGGAGTTCAAATGAGCTCTCATTTTAAATGTATCAAAAATTGCATTCGCACTTACTCCAATATATCCACAACTCAAGATCATAATAGAATATTGAGATCTTTTCACTTTAAATATTAGGAAATAAATTAGCATAATAATGTCCAAAGAAATTTCTGGTTATAAAGACATATAACAGACTTGAAAATGAATTGTTCACAAACATGGACAATTCAATCGAGCTTATCCAAGCTTGGCTCATTTAATATTGCGTGAGAAATTGAGCAAGCTCAGATCATATGATAAATAAATGAGTCAAGCTTAGATCATATGATAAATAAATGAGTCAAGCTTGATCTTCTTGGAGCTAAGCCAAGTTTGTTGTGAAAGACTCCTTTCATCAGTGGCTCGACGTTTAATCATTAACCTCATCATTAGAGTCCAACTGAAACAACTGTACAACATATTTTCCTCAGGTCGTCTGAGAGTCTGTTCTCTAAGCATCTCAAGTTTAAACCAATAGTAAATCCATGAAACTCATGGTAGTTTCACTTTGTTCTTCAAAAGTACACTTACCAACCCTACGTATATTTTCAGTCCGATCTTCTGCCGAGAATCCAAGATTCTTGTTCAGACCATGCCTAAGGTTGTCACCATCAAGAACATAAGAGAGGTTACCCCTTGTGTGTAATTCTCTACCTAGGGAACAGGCAAGTGTGCTTTTACCTGCAAAAGTTGAGACCAAATCTTCAAATAATGGTGACATATGTTACAAAATTGAATCTGAAACAATTTAATGCCACAAAATATTTTTGACCAAAATATCTAGCTGAATATACAGGCAAATTCTCCTCAATCTCTTAGGCAGTTCAAATGAATATGCGAGACTTGTCAACCTCTTAATGCAATTCCAATTTCGGGGAAGAACGAGTGTAAAGACTAATTCCAGGATGCAAATCACCAAGGTTAGTGCAAATATGGAATAAGCAACAGCAAATTAATACTACCTGATCCACTGAGACCTGTAATCCATACAACACATCCCTGTTGGTTAAGCAGCTTTTCCCTCTCTGCCTTTCCAACTGGACATTCATGCCAGAATATGTTTGCAGGATTTCCCAAGGTAGACATCAAGAAACAGAAAGCGTTATCCCTCCTATTCAGACAGTTAGGTGTATCAGAACAGTTATTTCTTTGACGTGTTACATATTGATCCTCATTTACCAATACTTTCGACAGATGTAAGAAGAGAAAAGACTTCAATTTCAGAATCTAAGTGCCAGAAAAGTTCATTTTTTCTTCCGATCTTTAATTAAAGAAGCACTACTTGAAACTAAATTGCCCCTTTGTCTTCTAATCTTCATAGAAGAAGCACTTCTTTGAGACTAACCTAAACAAGTTATGAGCCCAATTTGGAGGAAAAGAATGTTATCGAGAAACATAAAGTAAAAATCGAGGAGCATTTGAAAAATGAATTGAGAGGCATTAGAAGGAAACCGTGATGGCTAAAGCAGTAAAGCTAATGTAGATAGGCTATATCTATATCTTGGCCATGTTAAATCAGAGGTACTAAAAGTACTTCAATATAGAAAAGGAAAAAAGAAAAAGATGCACCATGTTGGATGTAGTGATTATACGGCTGCCAGGGGTGGATTTCTTATCTGACTGAGTAGATTTGATCACTAAGCTGTGATCAATGCGCAGTATATGATGGAAAGGCTCTTTTTTTTTTGGAAAAAAATATAGTATCCGATGAGAACGCAATTAGTGATGCAAAATGAGCAGAGTGAGTTCAGATAAGAATGATAAGGTTCTTTCTGGTTACTATCTTCCAAAGAAAAAATGTATAAACAAGCATGGCATAAAGGAAAAGGAAATGCAACAACCTAATTATTGTTTTCTTCTATATCTTGTATGTAAACAACAGAAAAATAAATGTATAGTATAAATATATTTTACCCCAAAAACTCATAACACATATCATAAAATTTCCCACCGGGAAAATGGGTTCATGACAAATCTAAAATAGAACATTATTAAAAAAGTCAATCCTTTTTTACCAATCTTGGAGCGAATAAAACAACAAAATAAAGATTGCTGAAATCTAAACAATATTCACCTCTAGGCAAAAGAACCAAGAAAGCCTCAATAGGAAAATCACATTATGCAGATAAGCTAAATCAACGAGTAAGCAACTTCAAGGAACACAATTTACATTACCAACATAAAGAAATCAAATGATTAAGAAAAGATCTTGAGAAGGTAAAACTGGAATACCTGTGAAAGAAGAACCAAGTAAGCAGAAAGTGAAAGAAAAACTATGAGCTCTAATTCTCTAAAGGGGAGGCAGATATGCGTATTAAAACTGGTAAATATGTCTTGAGAATTTGATGAATGTAGACGTAATTAGTGAGACAAGGGCGGAGAATACAACAGTGGAAAAGATCCTACTGAGGACAAGACGTGAGAAAGAGCGCAATGGCACTTTTGGAGCCTTTTTCCCAAGTTTTAGGCAAAGATTGTGCGGGGAATTTAGATGGTGTTTGGCTAAGGTCATGAGCGGTTAAAGCTATCTTATAAGCATCTTTTGGTTTATTTAAGCGCTTCATAAATATCTAAAGTGTTTATAAGTCAAGTGCTAATAAGTTAAAATCAGACATGAGTCATAAGTTAGTCACCCCCAACTTATAATTTTTTAGCTTATAAGCACTTTTAGTTTGACCAAAGTTTTTTACTAGTTTATCCTTAATAATATTTTCTAATTTATAAAATATTTTTCCCAAAATAAATTTTCTAACTTTCTTTTCATTCCATATTCATTGTTCATCTTTTTTTTTACAAAAAAACTTTTTAATTTATAATCTTTTGTATAGTTTTATAGGATATTTTAGTCATTTTAATAAAAGAACAACTTATTAGCACTTTTCTACCAAACACATCAATTGATTATTATCAGTTTCAGCACGTTTATCCAAACACGTAAATACTTATTTAAAAATTCAGTTTCAACACTTAAAAATATTTTTCAACACTTTAATCTTATCAGTTATTTACAATCAGCTAATCTAAACGGGCTCTTAACGATGACGGTAGGTTTTGCTGACAAAAGTGCTACGCACTAGGCTTTATTTTGATATAAACTAATGAGTCTATTACTCCTACCATCAGTTAATGAAACTAATTTCACGTTTAATTAATGAGTCTATTTGCAATTTAACTCTCTTCTTTCGAGACTAATATTTCTACCATTTGTTTAGACTAATAGCCCATTTGGCCAAGGCGCAAAAATCAACTTACTTTTTCTTAACAATACTTTTGGTGAGAAGTAGTTTGTGTTGAGCATATTAATTTAAAAAGTACTTCTGAGCATCAATTAGTATTTGGCCAATCTTTTAAAAATTTCTTTTAAATGTATTTTTCTCAAAAATGCTTTTCAAAAAAGTGATTTTGGAGAGAGAAGCTATTTTTTCTATTTTTCCTCAAAAGCACTTTTTTTTCCCTTCAAAAGCTTGACCAAACACTTCAACTTTAAAAAAGAAAAGTGCTTCAGGGATGGGAGAAGCTTGGCCAAACAGACTACCATCACCTTATTTTGAAAAGTAATTTTTTCAAATTAGTCAATTTAAAAAATAATTTTGAACAACAATTAGTGTTGGCCAAACTTTTAAAAGTACTTATATGTGTATTTTTTTTTTCTCAAAGTGCTTTGTAAAAAAAGTATTTTTGGGAAGAAACAACTTTTTCTACTTCTCAAAAATTGATTCTGCTTCTACTAAAACCATTATCAATCGAAATTGACGAGTTCTTAACTTTAATCAATGAATTTGGTAACAAACCAAAATCGAGTTTAAATTTGAAAGACATTTCTTTATTTTCATACCAAGAATAGGGAAAAGTGAATAAAAAGAACTAAATTTGTAAAATTTATATTCAATGCAATTGATCCTAACGAAACAACATCTGAAACGATTCATTGGAACAAAAGAATCATTCTAAAAGTTTAGTCAAACATCTTTATCTTTGGGAAAAAGTACTTTAGGGCAAAGAAAATACTTTTGGGAACATACTATATATGTCAGTATGCTAATAAATCCTTATTTGCTTTATTTCCTTTTTCTAAGACAATATTCAAATGTGTACATAAACCTTACGAAATTAGTTATTCGTGTCCTCAATTAAAAATTTGCTGTAAAAGGGACCTTATCGTTAGCTGAAATATCATATATGTGTCATTCATTTCTAATGGAGCTTAAGATGGCAGATTTTATAAAGGCTAAACATATTAAATTGTCACATAAGTGAGACGTATTAAAAAGAAGAAAAAAATCAAATTTACCCTTATACTTTGTAAAATTAGTCATCTATATAATCATTATTATAATTAGTCAGCTGTTTGGATCAAATTTTGAACAAAATTAGAAAGTCCCCATTTTTATAAATAAAATATCATCCAAAATGAACTCATTTCCTCCCTATCGTCACTATCCTTGTAACAAAGAAAACTATTTATGCTAAAGAAGTAAATGGGCCAAACCATACACCCAAAGAGTATATGGGCCTAAGATTAGCCTATGCATAAGACTATTCGAAGGAAAGCCGAAGAAAATGTGAGTAGTGTTTCCGGCTCATCTTCAAGATAGTGTTTGCCCTAAAAATGAATAACAATTAAATTTATATGTGATTTTAAGGATATGCAGATTAATTCAATACAAATGATAAATTGCGTTGGATTAAACAGATAAAGGACGTAATATATTGTCAAACCAAATAAGGGGAGTGATCCAGGGTTCAATAACAGCTTTAATGAAATGTCTGCCTTCGATCATGGGCTCACGATAATGAAGAACTGATGAACAAAAGTAAGAACTTTGAATAACAGAGAAAATAAGAGTATATTGTCTTGATATGCGTGTTACAATGATGCCTAATGAATAGTTAGACTCCCCTTTATATAGTAGCGGAGTTTTACCCTAAGTACAATTCCAAAAGAGGTAAAAATCTTCCGTTTTACTAGTCACTGATTTTCTACCGATACGTGCCGAGATTCACGCTGTAACATCCGGTTGGGCATGGATATCACGGCTATTTGTTTATCGTGCTTGATTATCGGGTAATGCTCTCCGAAGTTTCGGGGTTCAAATTGAACCTGGGGGACGTGGCCCCGATTCTTCCGAGGGCAGGTGTTTTGCCCGGATCCCGACTCGAGGGGCTCCTTACCCCGATTCCGGTTCCTTACAGTCACATCTCCGCTCCGTTTACTTCATCGAGAACCAAGGCGTCCAAAGTGCTTGGTTTCACCCGTATACAGATAGTCCCCTCGTTTCTCGGAGAGTAAGTTTACGGAAATGACAACAAATGACATATACACTTCGATTCCTTCTTCAATACGCCGTGACAGAAACGACAAAGAATCTGAAACGTCCTGCCAGTTATGTCATTATGACTTCTAACACGCGTCAGCCATCGGCAGGTCATACCTGAATGCGAAACGGCGCGAAACCTCTATAAATACTTTCCTCCTTCGTTCATTTTTTACCTTTTGACCAAGCTTCTACCTTTGAGTTTTCAGGATATCACTACCCTTCTTCACACTCTAATATTTTCACCTCTGTTCTTCAAAACTTCTTAGTAAGTTGCAAGTTTTTACTTATTTTCTACCCAAATCAGCGCACTTGACCTTTCATCTTTCAACCTCTCTTCATATTTTTCAAGATTTTTCCAGATAATAATGGCTAAAACTTCCAAATCTATTCCTCAAAAGGTTGTTTCTTCTTCTTCACAATCGACCGTTGAAATCGATGAGACCACTCCCGATGTGGTCGTCCTCGAGAGGTCCGCTCCTAACGCGGCTCCCGATGAACTGGTTGCTGAGCCTCCCTTGAAAATATTCGTTCCCGAGGGTTGTTCGGTTGCCGATGACTTTAAGGTTGAGAAGCCCTCGCCGGTGCAGGGCCGGTATGAAGGAGTATCAAGATATATATATATGCTCCATTATCGAAGACGTCCTCCTCACGGTACGAGAGGACTGCAACTGGGCGGGTAAGGACGTAGTAGTCCCCGGGCCTGCGGACGCCATCACTACCCAGGTGGAGGATTATCTAAGTGTTTATACTTATCCCTTCACGTTAGTCCTGATGAACCCGATTATCTTGGATTTATGCAAGAGGTACGAAGTATGCCTTGGTCAAATCCACCCGTCACTGTGGAGGATCATGATCTTCATTTGTTATTTCGTGAATAAGACCGAGTCCAGTCGGTTTACCATCGATCACCTTCTCTGCCTATATAGTCCCCGAATCTTTCGAGGGGGACTAATAAAGCTCACACACCGGGCCAGCAAATCCCCATTCTCGAGCATCGATGAGGACTGGGACCGGGGCTGGCAAGGGCATTTCGTTCGGGTGAAGACCGAATACTTGGTTCCCCCTGAACTCATGTCGTTCCCCGAGAAGTGGAACGCATCTCGTAAGTATAGTTTCCCTTTTAATGCCATTTTACCTTCATCTCCTTTTTTCTTACTGGTATTTGTGGTGGTGCAGCCGTCACTCGAGTCCCAAACGTGATCCCTCAGCTCAAAGAGTGGATCAAGGGCATTTGTTCATAGATGACTTATTCCGAGCGCTCATGTCGCAAACTCTCGAGGGGCCGCTGGGGGCCCATTCTCACAGTAAGACCCTTCCTCGAATAGGTAATATCTGGCTCTCCCATTCGCATCGTACTTACCCTCTTTCCTTTATTTTTCCCTTTGCGGGTTTTCCTAAATCCACTGAGCTTAGGCCTGCAGTAGGAGATAAGGTTCTGTCCGTTGACCCCTCCTCTTCGGGGCAGCTCGGGGCTGCAGCAAGAGAAAAGAAGAAAACGAAGGCTCCAGGCTCCCCGGGCTCAGAGAAGAAGAAACCAAAGAGAAGGTTGGGCCCGTAAACTAAATGAAAGTTCTAGCTCTAGAGCACCCGACTCGGATTCACTTTTTTGACTCGGAGATAAGCCCGAGGAAGATGATCTTTTCATGGCCCACGGGCAAACATCTTCCGAGGAGCGGGCATCTGTTGAAGAGGAGATCCACGAGGCCGATCTCCCTCAGACCAGGGAGATCGATGAGGAGTCCGGGACTAAGACTTCCCGGGATGCCGACCACGCCCCGAAAGAGGCGCCCGGTATAATAGATATTTTAGGGCCACCTTCTTATACCGATTCCATGCCCGAGGAGGCCCAAGCGGGGAAAAAGAGGTCTAACGAAGGGGCTCATGGCATGGAGG